GTTTGTGCTACTTATATAAGTAAATATACCTTGTACTACTGTCTGTGCGTTGGCTGCGCATCTGATACCTTAAGCACGGATATACTTTTCAAATAAACGTTCAAAGTGGCACAGGAAAGACATGGGACACTTCAGGATGCACCTACAACGTATTTACTTTGCAAGCTTATCGCAAACAACAATGAAACATATCTTGCAGCTCTCCTCGATTAATCGTAGCGTTCAATAAGTCGTACCCAGTTCAACATAGCCTCTGATCATTTATGATGTTGGGTTGGCTATATAGCGTCCGGTGGCACTTGAGAACATTCGTATGGCATTCGCTATTGGCGTGCACAACTTGTACCCTAGATTTGAACTTATTATCGTGTTTTGGGTTAATATTGTACCGTCACTAGAGCTTGATTTGAACTTATTATCTTTGTGTGTGTTAATATTGTACCGTCACTTCAGCTTCGCGTCTTTGCTCGAGTAGCAGTAAATAAACCCCGCTGACCTAAATCGCCACCACGCAAACGCCGAACTAAACGCACCCGTACTATCACACACAACATCCCACGATCTATGGCAACAAACACAGCAAGCACCCACCACACTCGCCTATCGTTATGCACTCGTGTCTTCACGCAAATCTCTCACAACTACCACTCAGTTCATTGTTCCAACTTGGTTCATGTACAGCTGATGGGTCGCCGTATAAACTTGGTTTGTTTCCATTTGCAAATCTCTCACAACTACTGCTCAGTTTATTGTCCAATTTGTTTCAATGTACAGCTAATGGGTCGCCGTATAAACTTGGTTTGTTTCCGTTTTAAAAATATAATCAGCCCTTGGTCATGCGTTGCTACGCCAACACGGCCATTCGTTCAGTCTAACCGAAGCACTTGCGGACTTTCGATCTCCAACTATAGCCGAGTGACACACACTCGTGCGTCCCAAATAAATACAGTTCGGTACACTTGCATCTGTTGTCTCTGTGTGCCGCCCCAGGTCCATATATTGGCCACTTCAAAAAATGGCCGAAAATTTCCAGGGCAGTTTTGGCTTCCTCTCAACCAGCCTAATCCCACTATGCAAACCGATTTTGCGACACCAATTTTTGTGGTATGACACGGCGGTTGCACGAGTTTGTCTTTTGACTCTCACAGAGTTTGTCCTACTCAGACGTCACACTCACTTCCCACACGCACACCTCTGTAATTGTCCATTACCACCAACCACCCGTATGCACGCTACAGTAGAACGACCTGTGTCTCACTTCCCACACACACACATCTGTAATTGTCCATTACTACCAACCACTCGTATGCACGCTACAGTAGAACGACCTGTGTCTCACTTCCCACACGCACACGTCTGTAATTGTTCATTACTACCAACCACCCGTATGCACGCTACAGTAGAACGACCTGTGTCTCACTTCCCACACGCACATCTCTGTACTTGTCCATTACTATCAACCACCCGTAGGCTCGCTAAAGTAGCACTACCCGTTCTCCGACGCTTTGCGCAGTATTCGGTCGCTGAGCCGAGCGATGAGTCATCACGCCACTTACGCATGCATTCATCCCGTGTGTATGTGCCATACCACGCGTGCCTAGTGGGATGCAATGGCTCTGTCTCTGTTTCCGTGAGTGCGGCTGTGTTATAAGCACCAGACGGCTCGTTCGACAGGGGTGTGTGTGGTGTATAAGGACGTGTGGTGATACGCCCATATGTGCTGGCGTGGATCGAGCAGTTGTTCATGTGGCTGTGTCTGTACGACTGCCACTTGGGCTGGCTCTGGTGGTTCAATGAGTGTCTTCTGCGTACCTCTACAGTAACAGACTGTAAGCCTAATTGATTGCCTCTGCTCTTGGTGTGTACCTGCGTTACTGTAGGTACCGGTGAACTGGCTTGGATCAATCGATCTTAACAGTGGCTGTGGTATTGGTGTACAGGCTTGGATCAATCGATCTAAACCTACGTTACTGTAGGACTGGTGTAAAGGCTTGGATCAATCGATCTAAACTTGCGTTACTGTAGGACTGGTGTACAGGCTTGGATCAATCGATCTAAACTTGCGTTACTGTAGGACTGGTGTACAGGCTTGGATCAATCGATCTTAACAGTGTCTATGGTATTGGTGCGACGGCACAGTGTGTGTCATACGACACCGTCAGAGCCATGAAAAAAAATCGATTCCGTTCTTTCTGTGGGCAGTCCAAGCGTCTCGCGGAATTCGGGGCAAACTGCCAATAGTACTACATACATTTGGGATCGCCTGGCACTATTTGGGAACCCCTCCGACCCAATAGTAGAACTTGCAACCAGTGTGTCATGTCGAACGCCTTGATATGCTAGACTATGGCAGACAGAACAAGGTCCAACCACCTCACAGACCCAGGAGTGTACCACAGTCCTCCCATGGTCTAAGTGAAGGGCACATGCGTGTGCGATGATAGATTAACTAAAATCTTTGGCAATGCCAGTAGTCACCTCAGTACTACACTTCTTGACCAATGGATTAACTAAAGTCTCTGGCAATGCCAGTGGTCACCCCAGTACTACAATTCTTCACCAATGGATTAACTAAAGTCTCTGAGGATGCCAGTCGGTCCGACCCCAGTACTACACT